TCTATTCAGCGCAAGGCTGAGTGAAAAGAGCTCTGCGAGGCTGACGGTCTTCTGGCGTGCGGAGTAAATGTCCTAACCAGCGTAACATATGGAGCGTGAGTGATCCATCTATCGCGGGAGAGTTCCTTTTTCCTAGGACCGTCTGGCGTACCTAATCATTGTTGATCTGATGTTCCTGCCAGACCTAACCAATGCTTTGGAGACACCGATGGTCAAACACTGACGCCTGTCGTGTGTCACCTGCGCAGAGGGGCCACGTTTTTGATCCACCGTAGTGTAAACTCTTCCCTTGACAGACAAACTGACATCACATCGGCGCCATGGGTGTTCCATTCGGGATCGCTGGGTTCTTCCAGTGGTTGTGTTGAAGGAGACCAGCTGAGCCGTTCTTTGAAGTGTTCAGCCCAGGGTTCCAGACGGCAGTCGATGGAGTGAATTGCTGTTCCGCCTTTTTCATATATTGTTTCACTGATACCTGTATTTGGACCGGTTGATCTAATCAGCTGAAATAGTGTGCGGCTGTTGCCTGCAGTGAAATCCTTACGCAGCTCCTGGGCATTGAAAATCCACTAGTGTTTTCTATCATTCTTCAAGCTCCTGACTATCCGGCCTTTGAGGGATCTGAATGCAACATTACAGCCGCCAGCTGCTGGTATGGCCTTTCCGGTAGCAATGAGTTCTGCTGATCTAAACGATATCTAGTCTTCATATAGTCGAGTCAGATGGTTTGGACAGATGGTATTGAAGGTTGAGTGCATAGCCTCTTTAACTCGCTTCCGTTCAGCCTCCAAACAGTGCTCGTCTGCATCACTGTGCGCTTCCAGTAGCTTTCTAGCCAGATCAGCTAGGTACCTTTCAGCCACTAAAACTTGTCGGAGTTGATAAACGGAAATGTTCTGCTTCCGCACGCTGCTTCAGCTGATGGAAGACGAAATACCTACCGGTTTTGCACAGTGGCATGACCGTAGTCAAGCTGCGTACCCCAGAGGAAACGACAATCTTTGATTGAGGCTCTTCATCGGTAACTAATAGCCATATGGTCGGGCTGATTCCGACTGTCTTGCGGTTGGTGGCCTCCAAGCAACCCGATGTGAGCGTATGTTGGAAGTTCGTACTGGTCAGGAACGGTTGATGATCTGCACACAACTGAAGAAGCCGCTCTCCACTATCCATACGCTCAGCATCGACTCCAAATCGACCACCCAACTGTGCTTCCGGACTTAGTCTTCCAACTTGGGCATTCATATCACCCACCAGGATTACTATATTGGTCCTTCTTGCCGACCGAAGCAATCGTGACAGATCTTGATAAAACTCATCCTTCTCAGTCTCAGAACTACAAATGCTGATACGATAAACAAACACCGTTTACCGCATCGACCTGCGTTAGTCTTAGTTGAGCCGGACAACCGCATAGCACAAAGGCAACTGTTTAACGGGATCCAGTCCAATAAGGCGCTTTCAGCCTTGGGGCTAAGTGCAACTATCACACCGTAGGTACCACAACGAGATGTGGAACATCTGGGCTTGTCCTAAGCGGTTTGAGGAGCACTACCGAAGTGGGTTTTTGTGTGCGTGTTTCAGCGACATAATGTACATCGATAATGAAGGAAAGTAAGGTTTCAGCAAGAGTTGCCTGTTACTCAATTTGACATAGAGTACGAACACTAAAGGCTGAAACGTGGATCAAACCTTTCGAGGTTAGTAGGTGATCATTTTGTTTGGCCAAGGTTGAGATACGAAACACTGGCTAGCGGGTTGACAGATGGGTCGGTTGCACTGCATTGTACGATGAGCCTGGCCCGAGGACGCGAGTAGTAAGGCATATCTGTCTCACCCATAGTGATTTTTAAGCAGCACCAGACTCTGGTTTTAAAAGTATTTGGACCACACTGAATGATGCGCCGGCGGTCACGGTCACCCGTCGGGCTATCGGAGTGTGCGGATTTTAGGGCTGACCTTTTCTATCCCGTCCTTCCTCGCGGGAATGCAGCATCGCTGCTTCCATAAATATGGACATGCTGGTCGCTTTCACACTCTTTTCGCAGAGGACGGTACAAATTTACACACAGACCGCCTCGTAAACAGTTACTCGCAGTACGAGGACTCGCTGTTCTCTGGCGGACCGCTCCCTATTGGCCCTCCTGACATGGTTAAACCTTTAGGAACGAGTTCCAATCAATATAGCTCGTAGAGTCATTGCAACAGTGAAGCCCGATCACCACGACAAGTTGGTAGCTTTAGGTTGGAAGCCTGATTCAGCTGGGTAACCGAAAGGTGCAAAAACGACTGTTCAATGGGATCCAATGCAGCAAAGCGCGTTCAGCTCTGGGGCTGATCGCAACCCACACGCCATGTATTCCACAAGTCATCGCTTGTGGATCACCGGGCACACGGTGGTAGAAATGTGAAAGAGCTGAGTTCGTCCTTGGTTGTTTGAGATGCATGACAACGCTTGGGTCTTGTATGCTTGTCTCAAAGACAGAGCATACATCAATTTCAAAGGAGTCTAGGGTCTCGGCGAGCATTGACTGTTTGTTAATTTGACATGAAGTACGGGCATTGGCAGCTCCCGTGTAGGAAGTATCTCTTGGATTTAGCAAGGTGTTGTTTACTGTAAATAGGCAGCTGGCAATAAAATAAACTAGCAACGTTTGTTTGTGTGGTGGGAAGGGGTTGAGGAGGGAAATCGGTGGACAAAGAACTGGCCGGGCAAACGATACTTCACGGTTGCCTAGACCGAGGAAGGGGGTCTGGCAAATGTGCCCCGCCTTCAGCCTTTGACTCAAAAGTGTGACTCGCGAGGAGGCTGCAAGGGGCTGGCTTAGCCCGATGGCTCAGGGATTCTCACTCATGACGCGGGTGCGTACTGCAGCTGCCTTTTGAGCATCACCAGATTCCTCGGTTTTACAAGTATTTGGATTGTATGGAATGATGTGCTGGTGGTCAAGGCCAACCTTTGGATTACCGGCGTGTGCGGTTTTTAGGGATGACCCTTTCAACCGTCTTTTTCAGGTTGGAGGCAGCATCGCTGATTTCATGAATATGGACATGCTGATCATCTAAGAAAAACACTTACTACCTTCACACTCTTATTGTGGGAGACAGAGGACCTCCAGACAGCCTCGTAGCAAGATTACTCGCTGCTGTTGATCCGACTGTTTCACTTTGGTTTTTCTGACATGGTTGCATCTTATGAAACGAAGTTCTAGCCAGCGTAACCCACTCGATCATTGCAACACTTAAGCCTGACCACCACGTCAAGGTGGCAGCAATAAAAACGGTTAGTGTTCGCTTGTGATTCGGAGGCGCCTCCAGGCTTTCTATCACCAGTATCGAATAGCGTCAAAGAATTCGTAGTGATGGACAAGAGACATGTTCGTTTGCACAACAGGCATTTGTTTGCGAAAGACATCCACCAACTGCGGTGGCCTGGCCTGTGAACCTTGTAATCGAAATCCACCACAAGTCGGGATCTTTTTGGCGAATGAACACCATGCCGTTTAGAGGGGTTTGAGACAGCTCAGTTGTTAAGGCGCGAACTTACTGACTTTAAGGTCTGTGCCTCGAGACCTTGAAGGCTCTTGTTCAGGATTGGGCAACCTAGGAGGATCTAAGCCCTCGTTCTTTGTTCGGGTAGCATGGCAGCTAGGTACCGTAAGTTTGCTGCAGCTGAACGATTGTTTCTTATTGGACCGTCAGGGTGGTGCGAATAATCGCCCTTATCCAGGAAACGGCGTCACCATTGCCGCATGGTAAGTAACTCCCTTGGTGGCTCGTGTTCACACTCCATAGTTTACACTAGTTAGGACACATCGTATACCAAAGGACCGTTTACCCAGGAGAGTTTCCGCCCAGTTGTGTCTCGGGTGAAGCGACCAGTCCACGAGAAAGCAGCGGGGTATGAATTCTTTCCGCCACCAATTTACTCATGCCGGTTGGTGACTTCCCTCTGGTGGAATATATCATTATCATTATCATCATCATCATCATCATCATCATCATCATCATCATCATCATCATCATCATCATCATCATCATCATCGTCATCATCATCAGCAACAGCAGCAGCAGAATCAGCAGCAATATCCTGAATGACAGTTCCCTAATGACATATTTTACCATACAACCATGAAGAAACTGTGCATTAGTCAAGGATTAAAAGGGGAATGGTAAGGGTGGGTAGGCGGTCATGACCAAGGTGTTCACACTTTGGCACAGTAAATAGATAAGCACGTATACGAGCGTCAGGAACTAATTGAGCATAACGAAGTGCGCCAATTCAGCATCGATACCGTTTCACATACTAGGTTGATTATCAGATAGAAGTTTGATAAGCGCAATTTTTTGACCCTCCAAGATGGGGGTTGGAACATATGCGGCACCTTGTTTCGTAAAAAAAGTTTGAACGCCTTTCACCACTCACTGGGCTCAGGCCTTCGAGGTACAGGCTTTAGTTGCAAACCCACACTGCAACTGTTCAGGTTTTGTCAATCTAACAATAGCCCAGCTCACATGATGATTGAATGCACAGTCAGCTGTACGTTCATGCCGCATCCCGTCAGATGGAAATCCTAGAAGGAGGTGGATCAGTACTTGGTGGTCCTCAAATATATGACTCCATTGCACAACCAATGGAGTTGGTTGTGCAAAACTGTTGGACTCACTACAAAACCGCATACACTGCACTTTGTCAAACTAAAGCATAAGTTTAACGGTAGTGAAATGAGTAGGTCATTGCCGTCAGCGCGTGACTCATTCCCAGTTTCATATCCTGCTTGAAGGATATCATAAATGAAAGTGATAACCATTCAGCTGTCACACTGTTTCGATGATCAACTGCCATGCCACCCGATTGAAGCAAGAAGGCTGGGATACTGCCAAGTTACTCAAGCCTAGACAGACAGTCTAGGTGCTGAGTTCGAACCAATCAGTAAGTCTGCATCTTGAACACGGGGCTATCTCGAACTTGAAGGATAGTGTAGCCCGTGTATGTTCATGCGCAATTTATGGCTGAATAGCCAATTGAACAGGATATACTCAGCTACGCATTTTTGATGTTTCAACATGTTTGTTTGTATTTTCTGTCACTATTTCGGAATTTTTTCATAGGTGTCTTCCTATATCCCGTGATGTGAAAACGATGAGCTACTCCTCAAAACTTGTGAAGGGCGCACTCCGATACCGGACAGCGAAAACTCTAGAGACTGTATTCGGTACCAATATTTCAGCTGACCCAGACGGGTCGTCATCCAGTGCCACATCCAGACTGAAGTTACACCCATGCTTCCTGTCGCTCCCAGCATTGGCTCTTCCAGCACAATTAGACAGGGCAGCTATCAACTACCTTCGTGAGCATTCGCTGTCCTCCCCTAGGGCGATCGAAAATCGCGCTGAACTTATGAATAATTACCTCTGGTCACGCCAACTGTCATTTGATGTAAGTAATTATCAAATTGGTGTCACACCATCCCCATAATGATCTGAATTATATTCTCATCGTATATTATTAAATGTCCTTGTCCCTGACAGTTGTCGTTTGTGGATGGCAATCTTATGAGTCCCGTTCTTACCTGGTTTAATTGGGTCACGAAGTGAATATGTCTTATGGAGCCTCATAAAAATCTGGAACAGTTCACACGTTTTTGACTCATATTTCTCAGTGCATAGATCGCCGCAATATAGAAACCATGTGGATAAATTGATGACCGTAAATCTTGTCTGCGAAAGCTTCGCATCAATAAGACAACACGAGATAGAAGCGGTGAGTACAAGGCCGAACGTCGTGGGATATTTTCACTTTCCAGGATGGACCCTTGTGGTTCTCTTTATACATGAATTCCAGCTATACAGAGCCCGACATGCAATTCCTTTCATTCCAAACAGTTTTTCCTTTTCTTGCACAAAGTCTTACGTTGGACAGACTTCCGGAAGCTATCCAATTAATATATCTTCGCTACAGTACTTTGCTCACTAGGGAATGAGCCATGGTTCACTCGGTGGTTTCATCGTAAAATCGCAGACCCTTAGAATTTCGTCTCTTCGAACTATCAGCCCCGCACTGGAAATTTAGTGCACACAGAGCCAACATAGCTTTTTTTTAGACTGGATCTTTGTGAAACACACTAATTTATTTTCCCTCAGAGTGAGGATACACGTTTAAGAGTCCGCAACTGGTTCCCAGTTGCTTTACGTCTTCTATGTAGTTCAGAAGAAAGTCACTCCTATGAGTCGCCAAAACATCTCATATCTTGATGTTTCTCTTGGGAACATGGGCAAGACGAAGTATCGGTTTTCATTCGTTAGGCTGAATTTGTCGGCGTTCGCTTCAGAAACTCTGAACAAAGAGAGACCTAAATAAGGAATATTCTTGAGGTCACTCCATGAACGTTAACTTCATTTACCAATGCGTCATTAGATTTATGGGACTGGATACACCGCTTTGGACTTGTTTATTGTTACATCTAGGCTGCGCAACAAGTGGTTTCCAATGGATCCCGCTTTTTGGACGCCTACTAGTGGCCTGTCTTATTTGATTGTGTTGACCTTCCCCTTCCTACAGACTCAGGCCATTCATCGTAAATTGAGTTCTGACGGGAGTGTACCGGAAATCGGAGATGTTGACGCATGTGATTCCGAGTTAGCTCAAGCTGTTGAATGTCATCCTGAAGAACAACTTACTCAACTTCGTAAAGGAGCTCTGAGGAAGGTGAAGCAAGAGGCCCTTGATGAGTGGAAATCACTAACGTAAGTCTCCGCTCCGTTTTTACTGGAATTTGTTATTCTTTTGCAGTACATCGACAAGATCATGGGAAGTGAACTGCATTCCGTTCATGTTTTTCTTGAACGATGTAACGACTGTTCTATCTGGTAAATGCATGTCCATAAATGCTACACGACACATTTAAATGTGATTGTTAATGTGCTTTCTCTGTTGTCTTATAAGAGCTCGTCATCATCACAAGACGACTCTCAGTGAGTGTAATAGGTTTTCCGTTTTTCTGGAGTATTTTTTCAGAAGCATGTATTTCCCAGCATTTGCTGCAAGTTTCAATTTTTACCTTTTAACTAGGACTGAATTGTGTTAGATTTCAGAGGAAACCTTAAAGTTAATGATTTAGACTTCATCCCAAGGTGAAGTCAATTTGCGCAAGAGAGTTGCCGAGCTGTTCCATTCTTTTGTGCTTCATGGATCTTTAGGTAGATTTAAGCCCACAATATTCCGGATAGCAGTTTGAACTGGAGGTTTTCCGGCGGTATCGTTTGGTGTTTCCAGTCGAGAAGGGGGAGGATGACGCTGACTGCCCCTTCCAAGACAGATGGCGACGCTGATGCACGCAGTTATATGGTTTGTTGCCAAATTTCATGTCCACATTTTGGGTATCGAACTAATTGCTTCCGCAGCTCATGAGTATACCAGGTATTGACATCCGCAGCGACATTTAATATATGGAGGAATAAAAAAAGTACTACAACCATTTAATGGGTTGTCACGGAGTTTTTCACAGGGATATTGATGAGGGAGCGGAAGCGCCGAGCTATAAATGCGCGATCCTAATTGGCCGAAAATTCGACCAATTAGGGCGTGCCCTCCTCAGCTTCGTAACCGGCATGCGACAGATCCGTCCAACCGACGTTATGTTTGGTTATTTAAAACCGATAGTCTTGTATGGTCGGTAGCCCAACTTGATCGAGTAGAAGGCTTCCTGAGTGGTGAACATTCAATCATACGCTTTTGGCGCTGTCCCCCAGACTCAGAATGTTAGTGCACCATCTCCTGATGAACCAATAGCCCCATCAAACTTTTCCTTCTTTGCATCAGTACTTTATCGCCTGTTTCCTCCCATATTTATGATTCCACCAAAGACTGCTTTTCATCCATCTTCGTCTACTGTCCTCAACACACTGCCATTCACGGATTATACAACCCTGCCCCAGAGATCACACTTTTCTTGCCAAAGTTTCTCGAGTGGGACATGTTATCTGTAAGAGCTTTGAACCCATCCAGGTTCTTTCGTCATTCACCTCTCTTCGACATTTCCCACCCCACATTTACTCTGGTTAAACCACTGCGCGTCACTTAGACTAATGTCTACGAGCAACTTTTCCTGGTCCGCTAGTATCGAGGTCTTCGCCAGCCGTGCCTCTAGGAGTGTTGGAATGTTGCATTGAACTCGCACATCCTCCAGCTCTACTCGGATTCTCTACAGATCTTGAACTCACCGTATTCTGGAATATTGCTGTCATTTGGAATGCTTCTCTCTTACCTTCATTATCTTCATACGAAAGTTGAGCGTCCCACTAGCACATTCACTCTAACCGATAACGTGTAAAATATTGTCAGGACTTGGATTCTCCTACTTTTTTAGCATGGGCGATGTCCTTTGCAGCTAGCACCCTCCCTCCCTTTTCCTCAATCCTTTGGCCACGTGACGTAACCAATCGCACCGCGCACTGTCAAGTCGATTCCTCACTAGAAAACCGAACTGCTTACATTTTGCTCTTTGTGGGACTTTCTCCCGTTTTATTTGTACCCAACCTCATTCAGCCTTCCACACGCTGAGTTGATGAGTGCCTCCGTAAACCATCATGGTGTCTTTGCAATACTTTAAAGTGTGTTTTGCTACTTTAACAGGTTGTCTGAACGTGGTCCCTACTTACTGTGTAAATAATTAAGCTGAAGGACCAAATGTTTTAGACCACCAGGTAAACACAAAAGGGTTTCTATAGTGCTGGTGGACAGGTGGGGCTGTTTAATTCATGTTTGTTAATATTCATTCGAACGTTATCTACATGAAGGATGAGAATCGGTGATGAGAATCGGTTCACCTTGCCTGTATAACCACGTAAGCCTATACATTTCAACGCTTTGACAGTTGTTTGCCTAGAACAGGCCAAGAAGCTAGCGAAATTTGCAATCGTATTTGGTTTTCCAAGTGACTCACCTGGAACCCAGCTGAGTCTCTCGTTTGTGACGTTTCCAGGCAACTGAATGTGCTGCACCAGGTCGCCTCATCTTCCAGTTGCTACGGAGAATTTATAGCAGCCTTAGAGTAGTTCAATAAGGCTAACAAACTTATTCTCTCCAGCTCGAGTTATTTCTCAGGCGCCTCAGAACACGTACATGAAGGGGAAACCAATTTTACCTCGATTTCCACTTTTGGGTTACATTTATTATCGCTCTGAACCCGGTTGATCTGGATTGTAAGTCTTCACAGACCGTCTGTTTTCAACAGAGAGCGTTGATGTGTAGTTTCAGCTGAACGGATCGGGGAACAATCTTCGTTGAAGAATGATAGTTTCATTCAGCTTATTCTTTAGGACCACTGCACCGAATACTTTTTTTGTGTCATCGCCACACCATTTCATGCCTTGTTCACATCCACCAGATCGAACTCAAGATGACAGTGGTTGATCGCAGAAAAACAAACTGATTGATTAACAAAGGCATGCTAGACTGTTTTATGGTTTTCATCTTGAGAACATTCACTGTAAAATCCATTTGAGGACCGGTGCTTAGTTTTTACACCAAACCCACCCTTAATGTCAAACTTAGCAGATCGATCTGCGTTGTCTTTGTGTGTGCCTATTCCCAAACCGAGGGGCTCATAATAATTCCTGCTCGTTAACTGATGTAGCTGCTCGACTCAACCCCTAAACTTGCTGTCATTATTATCGTTTTTATCTTTACTATTACACTAGATATTCAGGACACAATTGTGAACTTTATCTGACCGCGCGTCTGGCACCGAACTTTGCGTCTGTCTGCCGAGTATTGTATGAAATTCGAAAACGATGTCCGAAGTTTATCCCCCGCAATTTGTTTGACTTTGGTTCGGGATTGGGTACGGTCACATGGTAGGTTGTTAGACTCTTTAGCCGACCTGATCAGTTCATATGTTTTATGTATCAGGATCACTTGAAACTGTCATTCGTTCAGAAAGTTGTTATGACGAACCCAACGGTACGACTTATTCTCTTTTAGCCTACGAGCGCTCTTTGCTGCATCAGCCCCATTTTTGTCTTTGTGCAAAGTTAGCTTACCACGTAGCACCAGGCGTTTCCCACTGATGATTTGACTGAGTACTAATTGAAGAGGGCGCAGTGACCAATGCTTAACTTGCAATAGGTGCTCGAATTTTGTATATTGTGCTGGACATCAAACCAATATACATTCTTGATTCTTGATTCAAGCCCGGTCGAAAACCCTGTTTCATGTGCAGCTGGTAGCAGAAATGTATGGTACAGTCTCGGTCGAATGCTGGCACAGTACCCAGTTAAATCCGTTGATCTTGTTTAATGTTCCTGTTGATGAAATCCCCTCCAGCGTCACTTTCCAAGTCATATCCTTCAACTTGTGCAAATTATTTCGGATCTAAAACCCACGGGACCGTTGTTCTTCATACGACAAGTATTCCCAAAATACTGACTACAATGTTTGAGGATTCTCCCTGAAGTTAATCGACGAACCATAGAATTTCAATGGACAACACTGAGTGAATCTTCAAGACCCAGTATGAAAAACAAGGGCCAAAGCAGTCACAGAGTTACATGTCTACTCATAGTAGCACCGACAAATTGAGTCCTATAATTTGATTACTGCAATATCGAACGGCCACATAAAGGCCTCTTTAGTTCTGTGATACGTTTCACAAGTTAGCCGGAATACGTGTTTATTCCCCCATCTGTCGCCAAGTATATTCATCATCACTTTTAAGATAGTAGATCCCCCTTCAGCTTCCAAGGTAAATCAATGAATATTAGTGCGTGAGACTAATTTTCCTAAAATAATTTGGAATCCGCTTTCTGGTGCTCTACCTGTTTTATGCGAAAAATTTGATACCTGCTTTTTTTCAACGACTCGTGTTTTCGAACTTTAGCACCTAATTGATACCAATGTAGTGGTCCTCCGGAGCAGGGACTTCTCAAGGCGATCCTGTTCTGGGGATGAGCTTTACTGAGTGGAAATACTTTTTACCGATTGCACGAGTCAATACTATGATACATGCCTCATTTTTTTCATAAAAACACAAAGTGCCACTTATGTTAGTGCATTTGTACTGTAACTCTCCGATATACAGAAACCCACTACCTCACTAGGGTAAGAATATTCCGTTAGGAAGACTACCACTCTATGGACGCTATCTGAAAAGACCACATAACCTCTAGTATGACCGGTTAGTGCATCTCTTGACTTTCACATACATCATTACTTAGTTCAGCAAACTTTCGGATTGATTTTTCCAACAGCATTACATCGACTGACAATGCTCTCTTGGTTGTCGGCTTCCGGAACCATACTGCTTCCGATCGCCATAATGTTAACTCAGATTTTAAAACGGCTTTAATTGGTGGGAATTTCGCAATCCTTTTCTCTCCAGCTAGTCTCGGGCGACACAGAGTGCTTCATGGGACAAAAGGCGTCATTTTAACCTTTAGTTTGCATCGTTTGTTCACTGCGCTCTGTAGTCAATTCTTTAAACCTGATCCGCACAGATACGTGTGTGCTTATAAAGGGATTGCTTTGATGGTTACTTCTCCCCCTTAATTCGGCAGGGCTGGAATTCTCGATGTTGACTTCTAGGAAGAAATCAGATGACTGATGAATAGACTGATTAAAATACTGTAAGAGTAAGATCGTAGATCGGACCAACCAAACAGCTTGCTTACGGTTTGAAGCGATTAAAAGTGGTGATGTTCAGAGCAGTTCACAGTCCAATGGGCTTTTTAGCGTTTGTTGTTTCCTTTTAATTTGAGCAGCGCTACAATTGTTAACGCGAAACCCTCCCTACTCATTGTAATCCGCTAGAATCACTTTGACCAGTCTATAACAAGAACGAAAAGAAACACACCTTCCTAGTGTAAAGGAAGGCCTGTCGGCCTCGGACAGGGTTGAGAGACCCTTGAATTGGCAACATATATATTGTGACTACGGGTCTGATTTGATAGCATATAAGACTTGGTAGAAAATATTCAAGAGTATTGAGGTCGGTGTTGTCAGCCTCAGTGAACGATGGAAGAATGGAAACAGCAATCTAGCCTCCGGTATTTGATACCTTAAAATATGGAGACTTTTATCCCTATATTAAAGCCTTAAAATTTCCCTCTCGTGGGAGGAGCATACGATTTTGCATTAAAAAAATGTCTGCCGATTTTTCCTATCCGTCTCTTGTTGGGCTTGTTAATTATTTCAATGCTCACGGTATACAGAGAGTAATCTAGGATTCGCTTCCCCCAACATACTTGGTCCCGTTATATTTTAAGGTATTGTTTAATCGCTTATTTTCTCCCGCTACGCTAGTACTGCCTTCTCGGAAGAACTGAACCTGCGTTCCGACGCTGCAAAGTCTGCAACACCTTTCATTTCATTGTAACCAAGAATATTCTAGTGTTGGGGCAGCTGTTGACAGAACAAATAAATTCACTCGTGAGCGAAATTGTGTACTGGTACTAAAGAAGCGAGTTGTCTGTCCATTTGCACACATCCACAAGATTGTTAAAAAAGGGCATTAGAACGGAGTGTGACTCAGTTATATTCACTGCTACAAAACACTTAAGCCAACTTTTATAATTGTCTGTCTTTTCAAAACGGCTCACATTCTACAGCTATGAAATGTTACTCGCCTACGAATTTAGGGAGCTATTTTGTATGGATGAAACTGAGGTGAATGTGTTACTTCTCAAAGTATCGCAGTTTCAATCAGTAAGCTCAATTGCGTTGATAACTTCCGTCCTCTTGGTGGAAATCCGGTACAAGATATAACAACAGCTAGTATACTCTTCGAACATGTGGCGTTCCGGTCTCATATCTTTGGAACCATCCCATTTCCTGGGAAAATTCGACGTTACGGGGTTAATTAAGCCATCACCTCAAGGCATAGCTTTCTCTCCATCAACCTTCCTTCATTTGACCAACGAAGAAACATACTTTCGGTGCATATGTTAAACCGAAGAGGTGAATATGAACCGCGACCTCTGCTACATTTTATCAGCTTACAAACATATACATGTTCAACATGCGACCACAACTTTGTTTGCTACACCAAAGTGAGACCAGGAAGCTGTGTGAAACTCAAATGTTTTTTTTTTCGATCTTTATTCACATGAATTACATGTTTTCAATTGTATAGTCCCTTACTTCGTATGTCGTTTATTTTCCAAGGGCTGTCAATACTGTATGGCCGGTTGGTTGTGTGAAGGAGCACCTGATGTTCGAACCCTCAGCTGATATGACCAGATTGTCGGAGTTTATGTTACGGAAAAACCTCGTTGTCAAATCCCCAGAAACCATTTTCCCCGGCGTTTATCACAGACGTTTTATGCCATCTAGTTCAGTGAGTGACTGGTTTTCGTGATTTGTAACTGTCCATTTTCATCGAACATTTTTCTCATATTCCCGAACCACCGGTAATTGCTTGACAGGATAATAATACGAAGGATTAATACTGCTAAAACTGACCGATAATCGACTGTCGTCCAGCTGCCACACTCCTTCAGCGCATAGATGCGACGCTCCTTAAAGAAAGTATGCGGACTCAATTACTACAAGGTTGCCAAAGGCTAGACCGGAGCGGTCGAGTTTCTGAGTTTTGGTTCGAACCACAGACTTTCCGGCCAGTAAGTTCGTACTTTAATCGCTGAAGTTTTCAGAGCTCCAGAATGGAGACCCTTACGCGAGGACTAACTTCCAAGAAGTCCGGATTTTTAGCCAGTATTGTTAAAAATAGCGAACTATGTACTCTCGCACACCACCTCACCGAGAACCTCATGTGAAGGAATACCACGCTATCACTGTTAAGTCAGGGTGTCTTCACTTTTACCACCTTCAGTATATTCTCGTTTGTTCTTACCACAGACGGGGCATTCTGTGCTTTATAAACGTGACCGCTTTCATTGACACTAGTATGCACTGGTTGCGACCCATGTATACGCATGAAAGCCAGCTTGCAGTTATGCTATTCTTGGATGCAAGGCTTATCGATCCATCTGGGTTTCCTAAAACTTCACATTTTCATTAGAATTTCATAGCTTTCTCGTTCTGTTCATTTAGTTTGCTAATTTTTTGGCTTGAGCTATCCACATAGTTTTGTCTGACAGTATCCATATGAGTAACTTTGAGTATTGAGTCGGTATAATTTTTTTAGGCACCCTCAAGGGATGCATTGCAAGACTCATCCCATAACAAAAACTGGTGACAATGAAGAGTTTCCCAGAGAGCCAGTGAAAATCACGGATTAACACCAAATACGAACCACCGAACTGTTTGCAGAGACTATGTGAGCTGTTGGGGATTCCGCACATTGTTCTTATCGTATTGCAAATCCTTCGGGATCTTGAATTACTCCTACCTTTGAGCACGTTTTACTAGAGGATGCCATTTTTCATCATATCTCTCCCCTCTATTTCCTACAGCAACATTATGATCTAGTCGTTAGTGCTCACAGCTTGATGGAATTACCGGGAACGAAATCGCGCCATCGCGTTTTATCGAATCTGTGGAACAGAACCACCGATTTCCTCGTCCTGGTTGAGCAAGGAACAAAGGCGGGCTTTGCTGCAATCCTGGAGGCTCGTGACTGGCTGGTAATTCACTTTCTGTTATATCTTGTCCCGTCTACTTTTCATTCTCGTCGGGTGCATGCACTGTTTTTCCGAGAATTCTTTTCTGGATAACGTGGTTTTTTCGGAAACTGTAGTGAAGTAAAGTTGGATGATTGAACGAGCCCAGTGCTGACCTCCACTGTCCTATACATTCTGAACACTCAATCTAAATAGCACGAAGAGTGCAGTACGGAGTGCTGCGGGTTCCAGATGGACTACACTAGGGACGTTGTACCGAATGTTACATTTGAAAAAAACTCGTGTTTCAGTCGTGTTTAATAACTTGTAATGGTTCTGAGAATTGAAAGTCACTTTCTTAGAAGTGTTTTTAGTTGAATAGAAGATTTAGGCTCGAGCAGCTCGCAATAAAAATTTTCCAGCTTATGTTGTAGGTTAAAAAATGTAAAACTTTCTGTCCACCAGGGTTTACGGTATCGTTCGGAGTTTGTTGAAGTTTGCTGCTTCACCTTAGTTGATGGCCACTGACTCACCTGGGACGACAAGGTGTTTCTAGGTGCAGTATAATACTGATTATTTTTAATCCCTAGGGTGAAACTAAATTGTTAAAACGGCATGTTTATCAAAGTTATTATAAACGTTTGAAAAGCATGTTTAGTGTCTTTTGCCGATGGGATTTTATTCATTCCACGTAGGCTCTATTGTTCCTGCTTATTGACCATTACGAATGTGGATTTTCGGAAAGTTACGCTGTTCTTTTACCATTGATGTCTGCATCCAGGACAATGCTCAATAACCACGTCTACTGACCATTTATTTGCAGGTAACTGAAGGAGGAGAAGATGTATTTTTATTTGCACCGGTGAGTTTTATCGTTTTGCTTCTATTTCCGCTAGATAGTTATATTTCTTTCACTTGAGAATTCGCCCATGATGAAGAATTAAGCCACGAAAAAAAATCACAGCGTTAACGCCCCTTACGTGTCTAGCTGCCTTGGTTTATAAAGTATATTGCTTTACCGACCCAGTGTCTGAGAAATTAGTGCTAACAGATCATTAACTGTAGATTCACCCACGAATGCTGATTTCCATCGATATACAGTTTTCTAACAGCACCGCATCCGGGCAGATAGTTTCCGATGTTTTTCGCTGCCAGCCGCCTGATTTGTCACTGCCGTCGTCAATCAAAGATCACAACGGTTCAGCCTTCTCAGAGGGCAGCTTGTAGGTTCGACAATGAATTTTCAGCGATGCAGTACTTGAACACTCGCATTTACGCAGCATCATATGCTACGTTGCCTTATACAGACTATCCGCCAGCCAAAAATTGAATCCAGTTGAACCTGTCGTCTGTGCCTCGAAAACTAGGACACTAAGTTGCTATGGCGATAGTCAAGCTTAGCTTCGCTTGTAAACTAAGTACGAATAGGTGAAAGAAAGAAAAATCCAAAATTGCTTATCATTATCAGTGATGTAGCTGCTAGAGTTGGGGTAAACCGTATGTGCACTACTCGGATAAGTCGCATTGGGTTAGAGAACGATAACACCGTCAATCTTTCGTTTTGCTTCTATTTCCGCTAGATAGTTATATTTCTTTCACTTGAGAATTCGCCCATGATGAAGAATTAAGCCACGAAAAAAAATCACAGCGTTAACGCCCCTTACGTGTCTAGCTGCCTTGGTTTATAAAGTATATTGCTTTACCGACCCAGTGTCTGAGAAATTAGTGCTAACAGATCATTAACTGTAGATTCACCCACGAATGCTGATTTCCATCGATATACAGTTTTCTAACAGCACCGCATCCGGGCAGATAGTTTCCGATGTTTTTCGCTGCCAGCCGCCTGATTTGTCACTGCCGTCGTCAATCAAAGATCACAACGGTTCAGCCTTCTCAGAGGGCAGCTTGTAGGTTCGACAATGAATTTTCAGCGATGCAGTACTTGAACACTCGCATTTACGCAGCATCATATGCTACGTTGCCTTATACAGACTATCCGCCAGCCAAAAATTGAATCCAGTTGAACCTGTCGTCTGTGCCTCGAAAACTAGGACACTAAGTTGCTATGGCGATAGTCAAGCTTAGCTTCGCTTGTAAACTAAGTACGAATCGGTGAAAGAAAAATCCAAAATTGCTTATCATTATCAGTGATGTAGCTGCTAGAGTTGGGGTAAACCGTATGTGCACTACTCGGATAAGTCGCATTGGGTTAGAGAACGATAACACCGTCAATCTTTTGAATAGGTCGACCAGCTAAACGGGCATGGAAAATTAAAGTGGCCTCCATGTTACTCAGGCGAAGTTAGTAGTAAATCTTATTTGTCGATATAGTTTACAAAAGTGTGACGAGTTTCATAAGAATTCACTGCTTTGATTTAGCTGCGTAGAAAGTAGCTTAGAGTTGATACGAAATATCTGTGTTTCACCGGTGGAAGTGTTTTCATTTTCTAATTCTAGTGCAACGGCTCCCATGGAATAACTAAAAACACACGCTTCACCGAATTGAAAATATCATATGTGCTTTGGCGATATGTCATTCGGTCATCTGCTAAGAAAGTTGGACAATATCCATGCACTTTGTGCACTTTTTTAGACGTGAAATTGGCTTCTCATATATTACAGGAAAGTAACAAGACGCGCCACTTTAACTGTGAGGAAAAATCTGCCCTATTTTTTAAGGGTTTGTTGCCGAGTCTCGAATGTTGCCAATTTCCAACCTGGAACGATAACAGGGAGCTCTTTCCTTGTCATTAGACTTATTCCCCGGAGCAAAGGCTTCGGCAGTCGTCATTTTCTTCGAAAGAATTCAGCTAGTGCGATAACGATAATGCCTCCGCTCAGTTTTTGGTCTGAACGTTCCAGCTAGCGTTTTCGGCAAAAGAACCACCAGAGATGCGCAACGTGTAGTAAACCCAAAAAATCAGTTCAAAAATATATTCAGCACGTTGTATTCAAAGTGTGTAATGGAAAATGTTCTGGAAATTCCGGCTCTTACTGGACTGGCCATTGGCAACCAGTATTAGGTGGATCTTGTGTCACGATCGGCTGTTGGGTCCACACTTTCGGCCTTAATGATGAATCGGCATTGACCCGATCAACCAGTATTAGGTGGATCTTGTGTCACGATCGGCTGTTGGGTCCACACTTTCGGCCTTAATGATGAATCGGCAATTGACCCGATCTTCCGGCCAATCGCGTGCGTAATAGGCTCCTTGGCTCCAGCATCGCCCGCCTATGAGCAGTAAAGCGGTTTCGGTGCGACATTCCACCTAACTTCTGGTTACCTTGTCAACTTCCAGACAACATCTCTCGATCGACGAAGCCAACCCTAGAATGGCTTGATGCATGGTGCATCCAACATGGCCATGAAGTGCACAGGTTTCTCTCTTACAGTGTTGTCAACTTTTGTTCCCTAGTTCTTGTTGAAAATCGTCCGTTACTCAAAACCTTACGTCGTCGCTCGCTGAAGTTAGCGTCTTTTCCTTTATGGGTTCCGTTTAACTGGTTGCATTTAGACCCGTTTCACGTGCAGCAGCTTATTTCCCTACCGCTGTGTTGTTATTTTTTGGCTTGTTTAACTCTCCAAGAATGTGATACTTCTGTAGGATGGACAGCTGCCTGTCGTTCACATCCAGGCGGACGGTGAGTTGAAGAAATGTGACGTTCGGCCTACATTTTTCGAGGATACTTATGCGATCGGCTTTAGCCGATAAATTCTAGTTTAGAAGCGTACCAGAAACCAGCATGACGCCTGAGATGAGTCATCAGAAGCAGGCAACTTTCCGAGGCCAATGGAGTGGTTTAGACTCGGTCTCACATGAGGTAAAACGACTTTTCAAGCTATCACACACTTACTTGCTAACTACATCCCTCACTAATAACGGGTTTACAAAACATATTCTTGTTCCTATCCCAACCTTCTGAGGATATTGCTTGAAAAACTTAACTAGCGCTGATGCCATTGAGGTCGTTAATGGCAAAGTGGGAGACAACTTGATAGCAGCACACTTTGCAGCTTAGTTCGAGTTCATGTTCGTTCCACTCACGCGGATGGCTTTCTTCAGCCTGCGTGTTATTCCGAATATTGAGAAGTGCATAAGTGGCGAAAGTATTCAATCGCCTTTGTAGGGACAGCAGTTTGTGCCAACTGATTGGTATTGGGTAAGCGTCATATCGCAAGGCATAGAGCTAGGTTTTTGAGGATCGAGACTTTTTAGCACTCAAAATTCCTAGCAAAAATGCTTTTTTCAAGCTTTATTTCGCTTGTAAAACTGAAATACCGCCGCAATAATGATCGCGAATGCTGAAACTCACGGGGTCATCACCTAAAATTAGCTCAGGTATCTGACTGCGTGGGTTCGCTGTTGGATAGCATCTTCGCCCTTCATTCACCCCGGGTCTCTATCAACGTTAGATGACAACTGCTTATGTTTATGTGAGAAACTGAACTCTGCTCGATAGTGGAGTTATCTTTTTCATGTTTAGTGTTCTGTAGAGCAAACCTTGTCCCATCAACTTCAGCCACTGCCAGCTCAATCTATACAGCTTACCCCTCGAAGGGGCTCTAACGGTCCGGGATATTGATCTACGATTCCCGGTTCACAGTCGACAATGTGTCATCGCTCATTTTGCTCTCGTATCATTTTGATCCTAAAGCTTTACCCAGTGGCTGTGAACATAGCAGGAGCTCTGAGACATTCAGCTTGTCCAGATTAAACATCAACAGCTTGTGGAGACTGTGGTTTGCTCACTGCGTTGTCAACTGAGCCCAAGTACTTACGCATTCATTTAACAGCTTCATCCGCCCTCCTCCATAGTATTCACCCATACCTTTCAACAGCTTCGAGATTTACGGTTTATCGAATCAGTTCACCTACTCATTAGTAGGCAAATAAAGGAAAATGAAAAACGAAAAAGAAGGTGAATTACAAGGTCTGGCGTTACACAAGAAAAATGTAATGCGGGTATGTACGAAATGGGACGATGTACATTCAACGCATTTCATGACAAAGTGTATATTCATGTTCAGAAAGATCGCTTGACTATGGTGGGGCTTTTCGCTTTGACGGTTTTTGCTGTCGTTTGTAAATCACTGGCGCTTGTTACTTATTGTGTATAACTCATTATCTCTTACCTGTTTGCAGTGCCCTCACAAACTGACTTGTGGAAAGGCCGATTCTGTCTGCAACATTTCAGTTCAGTATTATCCATTCGGACTAACCATGGTGAGCCTTACATTCGTTTGTCGCACATCTTTTCCGTTGTCGCCATTCACAACTCAAGCAACGAACCTGTCCCTAGTCTTATTTTGCAACCGTTCAGCTGCGGGACTTTTCACTCAACGGACGTCCTCAGTTTTGGTTCCATCACGAAGTCAAGAAGTTTTGTACTTTTCAGCACCCACTAAATGGCGCGACGGACAAACGAAATACGACGAGAAAGATTTGATTTGATCCGGACTATAAAATTGCGCATAGTTCATACTGTTTTCTGGTGTCCTACCATCGTTTAGCGTGTGCGAATGGTTCGCCATTCCAAGCTTCCGATTTTGATCGGCGTTCTCCATTCCGGCAGTTGCAAGAATGTCCTGTATTAGTGAGGGGATCGCTCAATTTCTCAACCCTTTTCGACCCGATGACGTTAGATTGGTTTAGCTTGTGCTTATCAGTGCATGTCTGTTGGCAGTGAGGTCCGCCGTCGTCCACAATCCAACACTTATCGTGCAAATCAGTTATCAACGTCAGAGGCGTCCTTTTGGTGATGAACTTTCCGTCAACGGCACTTTGTTCGTTTGTATGGGTTCCATGACCGCGCTTTATATCGTCTTTTACCCTCATTTCTTCAACCATAGTGATGTCCTTGGTTGGTCTAACAATTTTCTCGCGTAGAAACACATTTCTCCCCATTTAGCTTGAATTGGACTGTCGTCAGAACTCATTGGTTCCAGTTGACCTCCATTGCGACATTGTAGCTTATACTTTTTGTCACACCTATCCCGGCTGTTAACTTACAACGTTGTTTTTTGACTTGAATGACACTGAAGCTTGATATTCACCGTTAAAGCTTCCGATGATTCTGTACTCGAGGCTCGTTGCTCAGCTGACAACTGTTGTTGAGCTCACTGCGCTTTCTAACTGATGATCTATAAACAATGGATCTTTGCGAATCATTGAGACCATCTCACAAGCTAGTTTTGAATATATGGGACGCACGAATTGTAGTGGTAACTGTTTTTTCTGTGATGTGTCGGTTGTCAGTGAAGAGGTATAAGTCTTCTACACGACGGTATGATCGACAAAGATACCGCCATTTCACATCTAATCAACTTTGCTTGACTTGGCACAATATTAATCTTTGCGTGAGAAATGGGAGACTTCCAAAGTGGGTTTCTTGGCACGTAAAACTCTCTGAAGAAGGTAAACAATGCAGGCAACTCGCATTCCAACCTACGTGTGAACTTGAGGTACACTGCTGCTCTGTGCGTTCAGTGTACAGAGATGCGTTTTTTGAGGGTTTTCGGGAAGTCATCTACATTCCAAATTGTTTTCAAAACCTATGAACCAAATTGTCATATTTGTCTGTCGTTATCTGTAGCCTGTTGGTAATCAATCAATCGTCTGAAACCGGGTAATTTCCCTCGTTCAGCCACTCGCGTCCTCCCTCGCATGCACTTTGTAAGTCAGCGTAACGCAGTAGCCTACATGCATGCAACAGAAGCGATTCGGTTGATATACAATGGGCACACCAGTAAGTATTGTGCTGAGACGGTTTACCTTATACAAATGAGGAGTAAGCGTATACGTGGGAGAAAGCAACTCACACTCAGTGAGTATGTTTCGACATCACCAAACAACGGAACGATGTATTAATGCCACCAAAAATCCTGATTATCTGGTTTGGATAAATGAACATTCTGTGCTTTTGTTCGCTGACGAAGTCGGGGGAACATTTCGGGATTAGCATTTTTCTGTAGGCTGCAATTTTTGGGGGAAACATCTTCCTGATCGCTCAGAAGTGGTAGGTCAATTCTGCGTTCTTCTGATGTGTTGACCCGTCGTTTATCAGTGGAGACCAGCAAGGAGTTTCGATCAAAGTTAGTGAATACGTAGAAGCCGAAAGGTTTGAGAGAGCCAAGAGGTATTGGTGTGCTGTAATAAATTTCCATACCATGTACATTCTGTCCACCGAATTGTCAGCGAAACCGTTCTGGTGTCAGATCACCCATCGTCCACTTCTTCGTAAATAGGGTAGAATAAGACAGTCCATATGCCCATACACTAATCAACCTACAATTTGGTTGCTGTTGGGAAATTTCCGCGAGCACTGCCGTCTAAGCACTCATTTTCCCCTGCCGCTAAATGAAGAGCCATCATGGACTGGCCCAGGTGCTCATGAGACTTTCGCAAGTTGTGGATCTCACCTCCAAGTCCCCAACGTAATTTGGTTTACTTTTGTTGTCGTTTTATCTTTGATTTTACCCCTTTGATCCAGTTTAAGTTGTAGCGGTGAGCCCCGGGGGCGCAGTTTTTCGCTAAAAATGGGGAAGAGAGGCATTTCTACCAGTATTTTCGTAACGAGTCGTGTTATCTTCGTATTCCTCTTGCGATGCCAATGGTTCCATTGCCGAAGTAGCTGTTGAGAGAATGGGGCTAATATTCACTGTTGCACTGTTTGCCATTCGCTTCTGATCTGATGTTTCACCCAGGGTTTCCCCATCCATATTGATATAATTACCGGATGTTTTCTAAAAGTGATCTTATTTGACAGCGCAACGTCTCAGCGTCTGTTCTTACAGCAATTTAAGTAGCTGTTGTTATGTAGAGTTCATTGTGGAAACGCTCTTCGGAGCTGCAGTAATTAGTCTTATTGTTCGTGGCTGGTTTTTACTACTTAATTACCGATCACTCTTTTTCTAAACTCGACTAATCTTTGGTGATTTTTGGCCATCATTCATCGTGGTTATGAGCCTAAAAGATATCACACAGCTAAACGATTCAGCTTAAGCTATTTTCGCGTTTGTTTTTGTTGGATTTTTCACCGTTCATGGTACAATTTTGTTTACTTCGTTTGCTTCATGAAGGAGAAGAACGAGCCCTCAACGGAGTTGCTATCGTACCTGGTCGTTTCTCGTGGGGACTGGAGACGACACCAGAGTCCCGTGATCGAGGAAGATCCACAGTTCCTTCCCCGGCTTGTGTCCTACGGTTCGACCTCAGAAAAGGTTCTCATTCATGACATTTGTTTGCCCGATGGCAGTGTGGAGAGGACGTCATTTTCAAAAAAATCCACAGACAAGTGAGTTTACTCAGTTTTGTTCATTGTTAATGTGTGACTCTGGGAAGATATGGTGATCGTAAACTTGTATTTTACGTTTTAGACCTCTCTACTACTATCTGAGACATGCGAAAGCAGGTGATATTTTGCCTTGTGTCCAAAGAACTGATTTTGAAATGGATGGTATACCGGACCCCGTCGTTAACGAAGATTGAATCGACCTAACTCCCTTATTTTATTTATCCCTTGTGCCCCGTAAAGATTTTTTCCTGTGGTACAAACGGGATATCTTTGTACATTATCTCTTCCGGAATGATCTTCTGAATGGGTTGTTAGTCAAGTCATCTTCATTTGGATAAATGTTACTCGATTGCCTCGCTTCTGTCTTGGTATTTATGGGCTTTGTTGATGTGAGCATTTAAGCGCTAAACTCTGTTTCATGACCACATGCTTCCAACTTCGTACGGACTCACAAAACCCATGGACTATGCTTTCTAGATCAGTAGCCTTCCCTCTCTAAGAGAGGGAACCAGGGAATGGAAGCCGTAAATCTGTATGATCAGGCAACAACGACTGTGATTCCGTCTTGTCTTGTGTTTGAAGCATGCGACATTGCTTTTTCCGGCAAAAATATAGACGGCCGTCAATATCATTTCTATACGCTAGTGAAGTGTAACATTCCTACAAAGTGGAATGGGAAGTGACCCTTTTTCCAATTTCGGAAGATGCCCGTTGAGCTAGAGGACTTTGGAACGATTGTACTAAAGAGTGACCAGCTGCGTAGCGAACCCCGTCAACAATATCACATCAGCGAGTCTTTCAGAATTGAGGATTCTGATGGATGATGATGGAGTACAACAGCTTGGCAGTGAAATGCTTATATGCAGGTCATATGGACGCTATTCTGTCGAGCAACCGCTTCAATTTCGTTTGAAGTTCACATGGTTTATCCGAATTCTGAGGACGTTCTCCCTAGCTCATCAAAAAGACTCACTATACCATCTTTCGCCCAGAGCAACAAATGAAGTTTCTACTTCCTCAGCATTTTATTCTCTGTACTAGCAGACATCGTGGTTCCGAAAAATTTCATCTTGGATCGTAGGTTGCCTATTGGTGAGCAGTGGTAAACGGGTTGTTAAAATTGAACATTTTGTGAACTGCTGTACTCAGTGCAGTACTTATGTACTAGCGAAGCGGTGGCAGACAAGTACAGAGGGTTGGAGGTCGTATCTAACAGAGATCTTGAGTGTTCCGTGCCTCCGACTAGTCAAAAGGTGCCGTGCATGTGTCAATTTTCATTTGATTTTTACTGGTTTGGGGAACTCTGTGGTCGGTACGACGGACGCACGATTTGTGGTCGCTTGCATGCAATTACTTCAAAAATCACTGCACATTTTGGCGAACAGTGTACTCTGTGTTTTCACTCCCGTTATTGGATCTCATTCTGTTTGATATAAGTGCAGTGGACGCAAAGCTCATGCGTCTGTTGTATTGTGAATGGACATCTAGGATCCTCTGGCTCCCGCTCTTTCACTTCAGGCTGGAAGCCATGGTGCTACCCTACAGACAATCATCACGCTAATGGAAGGGTGGAGGATCATTCAAAGTGATGGCTGAGAGGGAAAGCGGTTGTTCTCCCCCTTCGCAGGGGCTTAATTGAGTGCATATGTTCTTGTGTTCAGTCATCCTCAACTTCTATATATCTAAAACGAAGGTGAACCGTATAAGACCTGCAGGCGTAGAAGATAGATATTCTGTAACAGGCGTAGTGAATTCAGGGCAGAACTCTATTGTCCAACTTTTCCATCTTTCATGATACTGACCTCAGCGCTGGTGTTTCATTATCACGAGCCACGGTATTCTAACCTGTGACAAGTAAGTTTCTCGGAGTTGGTGCCAATGCATCCGGTTGCTCTGTAACAAAAGTTGACGGGTAACCAAGCCATTCAAGTTATTCATAACTTTTTACTAGTTTTTTAGAAGTTATGCCTTAGTGGAAATCTAATCAACTACTGTCGATCACTCGGTATTCAGTTGGTTTTGATTATCTCATACCTTATTTGATCTCTCTCTGTCTCTACACACGGCGTTTTTGTTGTGAGTTTATTCGGTGTGCGCAAGTAGACTGAAACACCGATTACATGTGAATTAATGTTGCCGTAATATAGCTTGAAAAAAACTAGCAACACGATCAATCCTTTGAAGTCTTTATTTTCCATTAATTTAATGGAGATTTGTCTTCTTGTCTGTGCGTGAAGAGCCTGTGTCTGGTTTAAGTTACCCCGTACTGATCGCTGCAGGTTGTCTGGTTCTGCTGTAGACAGCCTACACACTCCAAACGTGGCACCATTCTTGGATCGTAATGTGTTCTTATGAGGTGGGTGTTCCTAAGGGTCTGAGTGCTAACCGATTTAACTTACAACATTGTTGTTTTCATTTCTGCGCCCAAAAGATCTACACACCAGTATATCTGGCCTTCGGAAGCACACAATGTAAATAGAAAGGTGAATTTATTGTCTTATACTTTACTCGTCGTGGCTTTCTGTAGAACGACTTGTTTGTTTAATTTACGTGTCGAGTTTTCGTGGTTTAGACTGAGGTCTGCACTTAGGATTGCTGGCATTCCTCACCGATCTCACGTTCAAACGTACCACATTCGCTCTCCCAATAGTGATCCGAAGTTTTAACTGATCATCCAAGTAGTATCGTCACTATGGAACGGGGTGCTAGTGTTGACTTACTTGTTTATTCCATTTTTTGGTGTCTGAAGGTTTGAAGGGACCTCCGATGCTATTGAATGAGTTTGGAACTCTTGCGTGCCAAAGTACTTTGGGCAAACGCTAGTTTCAACGGATTCGTCAGTGCTTATGTGTATAGAATGTCAGTACCCGTAAAGGACGTGGTATCATCCGTGACTGCTGGAGTTTGCAAACGATATGAGAGTTCACTGGGAGTTGATAAGCTGTTATTCTGGTGCAAAGACTTCTCCAACCAAAAGTAACAGAACCAACCGATCACCAGGATGAGCAGATGGTGTCCAGTATAGTTACTATTGAGAAGGATTCAGTGGTGATAGACTGTATTTGGGATGATTTCATACTCTCGTCATACATGTTAACTCGTCCTGGACTTTGTAAGTTGAAGCTGTTTCGGAGTCGTGCAACTAAATTACTTTATTTCCCACAATAATCTTCAGTCAACATTGTCTGACACGAAACGTGAACCTGGAAAACTCCGTTTTTGTGATATTGGTGTTCCATCGGTGTTGAACGCTTCAAAGCAGTGAGAACCACCAAAGTTTGGTCGCGTTTGGCTAACAAGCGGTCCGTAAGCAATGACCGATAATTTTCAGATGGTACAATTCTTGCCGACTGATAACAGGTTCTAGGTCTTCCGCTTAGCTTAGGCTGTTTTTTTCACCTGGAGAGTGTCTTCAAACATCTGATGGAATGCCTCAATTTTTATGACCGCCTGAACTACTTTCTTGGACACGCCGTACGAAGGGCTCTTTCATACAATGATGAACTCATCTGTAGCTGTTATTGGCTGAAAGAGTGGAAGATAGAAGTGTCCATCCTACCATACTACCTTTGGGGTCCTGTTTGGGAATTAACCGACCACCTAATTCGCCTAACATTTATTTGGCATTTACCTGACAGGCTAAATCAGTCGCTACCGGAAGTGTCCATCCTACCATACTACCTTTGGGGTCCTGTTTGGGAATTGGCCGACCACCTAATTCGCCTAACATTGATTTGGCATTTACCTGACAGGCTAAGTCAGTCGCGACCGATTGTCAAAAGCGCTGGTTTTAATCGCGTTTTCCATGCTTCCTGTCACGCTTGTCATGCTTTGATCACGATCCGCCTGTTGCTTGGCATCTCCGGGTCGCACGTGGAGTAGGGAGTTTCCAGTCCCCATGTTCACGCAAAACGCCATATGTCCTCAGTGTAAGGTATGCAGGACGACCAGATCACCATCAATTCTATTTGGTGAATTGTTTTTAAGTCACTGGAAGACGAAGTTTGTAAAGGTATCCAGCACATTGCTCTTAACTACCAACAAACCACTTGACTTTTGCATCCTGAAACTGTCTGGTTTTATCTAGTGTCTACACTATCCATGGTCACAACCATAGAGACAGCCCGAACCATTACACTGGTGTAAGCTCGTATTCGATCCAGTGCACTCCAACAAATTTTTGGACAGATGTCTCACCGTAATCATCATTCACTTTCCACTCAGGGGTATAATTTACCCGGGCTTCATACGCGGTAATTGGTTTGCTTTGGTCACCTTACGCGAACCCCCGAATTAAGCTGGAATGGTGGGTCACCAAACCTGTCAAGCAACACGTTCCAACTTAAACTTTCCAACTCACAGGCTACGAGCGCAATGCACCAAATTTCGTCTGTATTTTAATGTGAAAATACACCCAGACAGGACATTTCAGTCACTTAGCAACGAACGAACGTTTCATAAACTCATTTTGAGACAATAGGTGCATGACAACGGTGGTTGGTGTAGAAGACAATAGTGGGATCCATAACAACGGAAGACCCAATTTTCTACAAGTTTACACGCTACTCAACACTATTGACGTCACCGAGGTGAAAAACTGCACATGCTCACATACTTTAAAGTTGTTCACTAAGTCCGTGTGAGACATTCTGTTACTTCCTACTTGATGTGCTGCCGGATGTGGCCAATCTGAGGTCAACTCCCCCGTCATTTTTCAAAAAGTTACTTTATACAATGCTTCGGACTTTTCAAAGGGTCTTACCAGTAAGACTCGGGGACCTCTTTTCACATCACTCTGGTAGCGCCAACCCGTGGGAAGCAATTATTTTTAAGGCGTCGAAATTGTGGACCACACCTGTGTTTTACGATGAGCAATTTTTCCGATAGCATCCTGGAACCGCTCATAACCGGTTCTTAATTACAATTCTCAGTCGGTTTTGCATCAGCGATTGTTGCGCTTCCTAAATTAACCATAAGCTAAAATCTCATGTTTCAGGGTTTATGTAGCCTTCTGTGAGGTCTGTGAAAAGTAAATATATGACAGTTAAGTGGCTATTATGTGGTGCACATTTAGGAAGTGGTTTGGTTTCCAAGTTATCTGACCCACTGCTAAACCGAAAAAACACCAGTTATCTGACCCACTGCTAAACCGAAAAACACACCAGCTGCTACGGAAAGCGTTGTGATTTTCCTGATGATTACCGGAGACACCGGGATTACGCTGCCTAGGGGTTAACATCGTCCCCTTGAGTTTGTAAGCACTATGGTACCTTGGGACCTCTTGATAGAGTTGCAACAACCAAGTGGTCTAGCTCACTTTCCCTCAGTTGTGTCAACGAAAGACCATTAACC